TGAGTTTTAAGTAATATGCATTAATAAACAGTACTTTACGTATAAAAAGTAGTTTTTAAGAGTTTTTGTCAAATGCTTTATAATATAGTATATATTATTTTTTTTAATTTAATTTAAGTTTAATAATGAAATAATTTATTTTTGGTTTATAACATTTTATAAAGATAATAATTAAGTATTTTGTTAGAATTCAATTATTATCCTAATTATATTTTAGATTTTTTATATTTAAAATGAGATGTTTATCCTGTATTGGATTGTGTTTATCTGCAGTTAGTTACATGAATTCAGTTATGGGATGAAATCGGATACGGATGAAATCGTTTAGCGATGAACGGGTTTAAGAGTTTTAAGAGTTTAAGAGTTTTTAAGAGTTCTAGCCAAATACTTTATAATATAGTATAGATATATGATCATTTAAGGGAGAACTCAATAATTTGTGATAATCTTGAGATCAAATTTTAACTACAAATCAAAGTATAAATTAGAAAATTAATAATTTTAGTATGGTTAATATAAATATTCTTGAAAATAATACTATTCTGGTCCATGCTTGAGAATAAATAAGTTACTTAAAATAGTAATCTTACATAAGTAGATTATCTTTTAAGAAATGGTAAATATTTGAGAACCAAAAATATGATTGTAGTCTTTCATTTGGTCAACATTTGCGGCTTTGTCTGTGAATCACCGATATGTCCTCGCATGGATATGCGGAGGATAGAGATGTGGTTTCATAACTTACATAAGTAAGCGACAAACGGATTCATATGTGAACCCATGCGATACACATATGAATTATATGTTCATATGTGAACTCGTTAATTAGTTCATATGTAAATCACAAAGATTCAGATGTGAATCAATTAATTAGTTTATATATAAATCACATGGGTTCATATGTGAATTATAGGAGTTCCTACGTGAATCACATAATTTCATATATGAACCTATTTGCTGTAGGCATGGGAATTGGCCCCGACCTGTCGGGAAACCCAGTCCACCCGCCTCGGTCGGGGACGAGAATTCCCTGTTAAACCAGGTTTCGGGAACGGGGTCCCCGTTTGGCTCAAACTGGAGATGGGGATAGGTATCACACTTCCCGTCTCGTCTCGTATCTGTATATATTAATTAATAAATTATATTATATATTATTTATTTCTATTAAATCGGTAAATGGTAATTTCATATTTCAATATATTTTGGATATTACTCGATATATTTTGGTACATGTGACGTTAATTTTTTTAGATTAAATTTAAGTTCTTTTGGTTCTCGATTTATATATTATTATATGATGATATATATTTTTTATATTAAGTTAAATTTCTTTTGATTTTAGGTTTATTGGAATTTTTTTGAGATTTAAACATGTGTGACATCTCACACATTTGATTTAAAAAAAACTTACACAAACAAAAAAAATATTTGTTTCCCTGGGGATTGGGGGTTCCTGCCCCATCCACACTCATTACCATGCTAGTTTGTCAATTATTTGTAAAAGTTACAAAACTATCCTCTCTATTTTTTTTTCGTATAACCGCGATTTTGACCAATCAAATGCTCAATTATTGACCAATCAAATCAATTATTGATTGGTTAATTTTAAAACCAAACTCTTAGATTCTTTTTAATTTAACATATTATATAAAACAATCATTTTATTTTCTTCAATTCAATACACATATTAATGTATATTTTTTTTTATTTTTTAACTGATTTATGTATAAACTAATATGTTACTATGAATATTCATGCATGTTCACATGTATATCATAACTTTTTACGTCTGTATGATATTTATCATTCAAGTTTAGAATTTATAATATACGTATGACATCATAAAAATAAAATTAAGATGCCTTTCTTACAATATCAAACTGACACAAAATCATAAAAATATAATTAAGCGGACGGATGATAGAAGCACGAAACGTAACTGAGGATTCAAACTCTCAACTTTAGAATCAAGATTGAACCGTGATGTGTTGCGTGGGTAGACTTTTGTATCTACAACTACAGGATATATGTAATCAAATTAAATACTTAAGTGAACAAATTTAATCCCGTTGGTTTGTCGAACATAACAATTTTCATCCATACAGTTTCAAAATTACATGATGGTCATCGTAGCTTATAAAAACATTAAGATTTGGTCCCTCTCTCTAACGGATGTTAAATGAGGGGGCATTTTTGTCATTTTATCAAACTTTTTTGTCTTTTACGAAATCAAAATCCGGTTTTAAGAGTGTGGTCATGGTGGTTTTTTGTTAGATAAAAGACAAAAATAAACGATGAAAGGACGAAAATGCCCCTCAATTAACGAACCTTGTGTTTCTTGACGGGATGGACCTATGGTGAACTAAACCTTGTAAACCTTTTCTTTAAGTTGGTGAGAGTTGAACTTTTAACATCCAAAAAAGTTGGGCTCTATGTATAACTCGAATACGGCTGAGACAATGCACAAACAATGCCAATAATACTAGCTCTTTTAAAACCCGTAACCAATTGTTACTAGTTCTTCGTACAAAATTAAGCTCGATCTAGGCCCTACGGGTCCTGAATTGATTTTAACCAGACACAATAAGTTTTCCCTGATCTTTCGTCTTTTTTCTTATTTTCACAAATTTTTAAAGAGATTATTAGTAAATTACTATTATTACATCATTTTCTTTTAAGTACCTCCAATATTTTAAAAATGTAATAAAATGATAAAATTATCTAATATTTTAATAATATAATCTATACTATATTATAAAGCATTTGGCTAAAACTCTTAAAACTCTTAAACCCGTTCATCCCTAAACAATTTCATCTCTATCCGATT